TTATGATCCTTAAGGACCATTACTATTTTTATATCTTTTTACCCTGCCCTTTTCTGATTATGTGGACGTGGGTTGTAAACATCATAAGTTTATTGTCTATGCTACACCTCATGTATGAGGTGGAAGTATTTTAAAGAATTTAAATAGGACGAAGGGTAAGACGTCGCCTAACAACTCTTTTTTCGCTTTCCATCTTATAAACGCAGTGAGCTCCTCTTTTTAGCTGAATTTTTTTTTTATCAAAAGCCGTCTTTCAAATATTATAGGTAAGTGACTTCATTATTTTGAAGAATAATTTTTTTTAAAAAAATGAAATAATTATTTCTGTCTATTATCACGAATTTTAGGCACGGTAAATTTTATGCGCAAGTGACATCATTGTCTCGAAAAATAATCTTTTTAATAAAATTGTGATATTTTATTTATGTTAGAAATTATAAAAGCTGTAAATTTTTAGAAATAAATTTATTTATTTATCTTGTCTATTGTTAGTAAATTTTAGATACTGTAAAATTATTAAAAATAAATGTGATATTTCTGCTTTTAGTAAAATTGTGAGATTTCTTTCTACTGTTTTTTAATATTTAAACATTGTAAAATTCATGTACAAATGACTGCCTTATTATTTGAAAACTAATATTTTTGCAATTGATTATAACATTGCTTGTGAAATGCTTATTTGCGAATTGACATCCCATAAATTGTGATAATTCCGTATTCTTGAATTTCTATAAGAGTTTTTCTATACATATTAGATTGGCAATTATGCTAGAATGTCTTTACGAACTGCTACCATTTTAAATTTGAGCCCAAAATATTTGACTGGTTATTTATGAAATGTTATTGACAGTGACTGTTATTAATGGTTTCAGTGAAATTCACATTAATAATTTCAGTGATATGTTGAGTACATGATATTGCTGCTTTCGAATGTTTAAAGAGATTTAGAAATACTTTAAGTATACAAGTGAATTCATCCGGTTCGCCGTTAGGGATTAAGTGGACTCATCCGATACGTCGGTGAGGTATAAGTGGACCTGCAGGGATTAAGTGGACCTACAGAGATTAAGTGGACTTACCTGGGATGCCGATAGGGATTAAGTGGACCCATGAGGACGCTGATGGGGTATATAGGTGACCTACTTGGACGCCAGTAGGGTAATTTGTGAAATCTTTTGAATTATGCACTGCCGTTAAAATGTTATATGCATTTCTATTATTCGGATTATACTTAATTATGTATTTTTTAAAGTGAAACTGTTGATGTATTTCTGTTAATAGATCTCCTTTTTTAAAATATTGATATATTTCAACCATGATTATTTTTAAGATTATGATGATCACTTACTGAGTAGCCAAACTCATCAAATTATGGTAAACATTTTTTTCACGATAACTGTGGTTTCATATTGATTGCTCGTCATGATCAACTTTAGAAGATATTATAGTTGTGCTTAAACTTTCTTTTGTTACTTTGTAAGAATTCGTCATTGTATATTTGTTCTGTCAAGAGATGTATATATGTTTTGACTGTCACATCTCAAGAATATCAGTATTGTAAATTCTTGGGACGTGACAGTAGAGCTGGCAAGATAAGAAAAAGTTGACTTAAATGAGTTGGCTATGTATTGTGCATAACTAATATGTTACAAAGCGCGAGTTAGTTTAGAAAAAAATAAAAGTAATAAGCGGGCCAAACAAATTATAGTCGGAAGTAGTGAAAAAAAAAAAAAAAATTATAACTTTTATAAAAAACTAAGCTTTAACAAAACATAATTGTGTACGATAATTCGTGCAAACGACACTAATTAGTTAAAAAAAAACTGGATGATAGGGATGATTTATCTCTCACTAAAAAATAAAAAAAAACAAAACAAAACACCTAAGACATGATGATTTATGTCCTAACACAACACTTTCCACGCCAGCGGTGACGTCCCAGCGATCCAAGCCCTTCACGCTAAAAAAATCAACGGCTACAATCTGTAGACCCACAGCCCACCTGTCCCTCCTTTGGCAATCGCACGCCAGGCGCCACAATCAAACCTCATACTCTTAATACGATAAATACTCGTCCTCTCTAAAGACCCATCATCAAGCAGAGAAGCTTTCTAGAGAGAGAAGCTAAGACTGAGTTTTTTAGAGAGAGAGAGGCGGGTTTTAGAGAGAGAAGGAAATGGGGGGCGAGGTGATTCTGCTGGATGTGTGGTCAAGCCCTTTTGGGGTGAGAGTGAGGATTGCTCTTGCAGAGAAAGGAGTGAAATATGAGTACAGAGAGGAGGTCCTGGACAATAAGAGTGAGTTATTGTTGAAGAGTAACCCTGTTCACAAGAAGATCCCTGTGCTCATTCATGGCGATAAGTGTGTATCAGAGTCTCTGATAATTGTTCAATACGTTGATGAGGTGTGGAAGAACTCGCCATTGTTGCCTGAGGACCCGTACGAGCGAGCTGTTGCAAGGTTCTGGGCTGATTTTGTTGACAAGAAGGTGAGATTGTTTTCTTCATTTCATTCTAGAGAGTGAAAGAGTGGAGAGAGATTAACAGTTGTAGAGTGTGTCTGCATGTTTTGTCAAGTTTACGGTTCTCGTTTGGTAACTGAGAAAAAATTTTCACAAGATAATCTATATGGAAGTATGAGTAAAAGATACCAAGTAGAAAATTGGGAGTTGGAAGCTAATAACCCTTGTTTGATAACCTGTATGTGAAAAGTGAAAACGTATAAAAATAGAAGAGAGAGAACTAGGGATAGAGAGAAAACATTTGTCCCGAATTACAAAGGGAGAGGGAAAAGAGATCATGAAGTTATAAAAATGAAAGGTGGATGATCGGTGTTTCGCATTTCCCCTTTCCAAAATAGGGGCTCTGCATTGGGGAAAAGCATAGAAAGGCTCTGCATTTCCATACTTTCTTACCTTCCCAAAACGGAGAAAATATGATTAACTGAGAAAACATGTTGAGAAGGGAGAGGTACCTCGAAAAATATGTTTGAAAATGTTGTTCCAGTGATTTAAGAAATGAATCGGTGACCCTGGTCAGGCGTTGCAAAAACCGGTCTGGATCGTTGAATCGGCAATCCAAATCACTATTGTACCGTGTGGAAAAATAGTAAACCAGTGAAAAAAACATGCAAAAATAGTGAACGGACCAAAACTCCTCCAGGATCAATGAATCAGCATTTTTTACTGTAGTAAAACAATGTTTATACTGTAACAAAGATAATTTCATTATAACAAATCGTCGGTTGTCTTCTAGACCGAAACGATTTCTTATATATTGACAGAATCGGTAAGGGGTGACAAATTTTTGTGTCGGACCGTGCGATTCAATCACGGAGTTTTTATTGTGATAGAAAAGTCCTGATGATAGAAGTCTTAAACCGATCTTCTTGACCTTGTAATATTGGATATGAAAAAATATGATCCCAAATCTTTAAAATAATCTATACTGTTTTTAGATTATCCATCTTCAAGATTTTTAAGAGTTTATAAATCTTTTAGAGCATTAAGTTCCATAATTAGAAAAATAGAGTTTATACTGCCATTGTAGAAGGGATTGTGATCTATGAAACCACTTATTTTTTTTACAAAAAGGTCATTATTGCCAAATTTGGAGGACTTTTTTTTTTGTGAAACTTTAGGTGAAAGTGAATGACATATTCACAACGATTTGAAATCCAATGGACATTATGATCTCCTTGTTAAAAGTAAAAAATATCTTTGTATGCTTTTCCATTGTAAAAATTATCGCAACCAATCTGCATCTTCCGGCAGGGTTTGGAGGCTCTCCTTATTTTGATCGACGCCTTAGGGAAATGGGCTGGGGTCAAGTGTAGAGGCTGCTTTTCCATAGCCCAATGTCTCGAGCTCCGTTCTATGCAACCTTGTAAAAAAAAAAAAGAAAAAAAAAACTCTATTCACGCATGATTTCGGCACGCAACCTTTTATGGTGGTCCTCTGCAGGTGTACGAGAGTGCGACCCGGATTTGGACACGCAAGGGCGACGCCCCGGCCGAAGCCGCGAAAGACTTCATCGAAAGCCTCAAAATCTTGGAGAGCAGCTTGGGAGACAAGTCCTTCTTTGGAGGGGAGAAATTAGGGTTTGTGGACGTTGCCTTGGTGCCATTTGTTGACTGGTTCCACGCCTATGAGGTCCATGGTGGGTTCAGTGTTGCAGCCGAGTGCCCCAAAATTGATGCCTGGGCCAAGCGTTGCAAGGAGAAGGAGAGTGTTTCCATGGCTTCACAGGACCCTGAGAAGATTTTGATGGTTGTTGAGCGTCTCAAGAAGAAATTTGGGTATGTGTAGAGAGAGAAAGTGGCGTTTCCCATGTAGAGAGAGAGATGGGTTCTCTTCTCTTGATGAGTTTGGAGTAGAGGGTGGAATGGAGCGCATTTGTGTATCTGGTTTTGGGTTGAATGAGGAGGTGTGGTGTGGTGTCTTGTCTTGCCTTTTGTGGTTGTTTGGGAGTTGTTTTTGGTAATAAAAACCACCACGATCGATCTTGGCCTCTTTTCTTTAAAATGGAAATAACATACATTTTGTTATCTCTGGACCAGATTTTTAAAACTGGTTTAATCGATGTCAATTTGATTGGATCGGATTTTTTAAAAAATAAATATGCGGGATGTCAATTTGATTGGACCGAATTTTAAAAAAAATAAATATGCGGTGATCATTTATTTACTTATGAGACTGTATTAATAAAGCACATCAAGTGCACCAAACTTCATGCCACATGCTCCACTCTCCTCTCTCTCTCTGAAACCTCAACCACTCTCTCATCAACGGAATACTATCCATTATGCCACCGCCAATCTCTCTCTCATCAATAAATACATACAATCACTGTCTCTTTTCCCTCTCTCTCCACGTGATTCCTACTCGCTTTCCCTCTTCCCAAGGTTTCTCACTTACCACTCATTCATCCCATTCTCTCTCTAATCATTCAGCTCTCTCTCTCTCTCTCAAACCTCATTTTCCCATTCTCTCTCCACCCATTCACCCCCGCTCTCTCTCCACTCATTCACCTCTCTCTCTCTCTCCCAAACCTCATTTCCCTTTCTCTCTCCACTCGTCTCATATGAAGTCCAACAATAACCTTTTCCTAAAACAATCTCACCTCATCACTTAATCCAACACATTCTCCCTCTCTCTCAAACCCCACCTGACTCTTTAATGGAAAAAGTTCATATAACGATGAAATCTTATAATGTATAACTACGGATGCACCTCATAAATCGATCGGAAAGAAGTTTTGATGTGAAAAAATCATCTGATCGGAAAGAAGTTTTGATGTGAAAAAATCATCTCGATGTATCATTATGAAAAATAAAATAAATTTAAGTCTTTAAAATAATTTATTTTTAAGATTTTTATATGTTTATAGATCTATTTGATTTTAACTTGAAGGCCCTCTGTAATTCCCTCAACACTCTCACTTACACACACAACACTCATATCACCCTTCATAAATCTCTACACGCACTCACCTACACACACAACGCCCACCTTTTTTTTACTCTACGGACCCAATTTCTATGCGGGGAAAGCCCGCATGTATGGAAATCTAGACCTCTTAGTAAATCTATTTTTCAGATGAATTTTAAGACTTTATTTTTTAGCACATGTAATCTTTAATATGAAGATCATGAATATGAAAAAATAAATAAATTTTAAAAATTAAAAATAATAGTTCTAATAAAAAAATATTTGGACCATTAATTTCTATTGTATTTAGATAAAACATTTACTTGCATCTATTTTTAAGATATGCTTTACACTGGATTGCGTACGAAAAAATGTAATCTACCCCGCATATTTCCGTTTTTTCTCTTACCCCCTAAGATTTCACTCTCCGTCTTCTCTCTCATGTGGGCCCCTTTCATATTAATTATCTTCGCCTCTTACAAATCCCCTCTCTTACTACCTACAATACATGAGTCAAAAAATTTCTTAAATTATGGCCTGACTACCATCCCGAACACATTGGTCCATCGTGATCCCTATCTCCTCGAAGGCCTTCTAAATTCAAACAAGCAACCAAAATTGAGTGTCTGTAGCTCGATCTTCTAACAGACAATGAGAACGGTCCTTTGTAGTGACAAACTCTGATTTGGGTCCAGCTTTGCCCCAAATAAATCTATGATCTCAGCTTTTCTTTATTTTTAATATTTATTTCAATTTTGTCATTCTGGTTCTGATATATTTTCCAAAATCCCCCTATTTTTTTTTAGTTTTCTAAAATTTCTTTTTTTGGTTTTTAGGGAATTTGTAGCCTGTACAACCAGTGGATCACCAAAAAAGTGACTGTAGAGTCAAATTTCTTTCGTAGATTGTAATTTCATGAACCCTATTATTTACTTTGAATCGTCATCTTTAAACGGAAAATTAGGCAGAAATTTTATTTTTAATGAAATTTCACGTGTGCATATATATATATATATATATTTATATTGCCTAAAAAAAACTCGCCCTCTCACACCAACTCTCACTCTCACTCTCACTATAACTCTCCCTTAACTTTCTCTCTCTCCCCCTTGCTCCATAAACCCATGCACTATCTTCTCTTCCATAAGACCACACTCTCTTATTTACCCTCTTTTAACTCCTGCCTGCTCCTACCACATCTCTCGGACTCCTATAGGAACTTCTCCCTCTTCCTCATTTTCACCCCTCATCCACTCTCTTTTATTCTCTTCGCCTCTTAAATTCTGTCCTAAGGACCATCCCAACACATTGGTCCGTCGTAATCCTACTCCTCGAAGGCCTTCTCAATCCAAAGAAACCCCACAAGATTGAGTGTCTCTAAGTCGGTCTTCCAACAAACAATGAGAACAGTCCCCTCACACCTACAAACTCTTATCCGAGCCATCAAATTCAATTGTTGGGCCTGTGGGCCCAGCTTCGCCCCCAAATAAGGCTATGATCGCTGCTTTTCTTTATTTCTAATATTTATTTCATTTTTGTTATTCTATTTCTAAGATATTGTCCAAAATCCCCCTACTTCCCTTTAGTTTTCTATAATTTCTTTTTTATTTTATTTTTTGGGGAGTT